GAGAGCCCTGTCCGGTTTGAAAGTGTGCATAGCATGAGTCTACCATTGTCAAGTCCGCGATCTGCCGCGTTAAAGGTCTGTGTCTACGCTCGTGTGACGTCGGTTCACCTTGACAAGCTGCTTAGCTGGGATGATATGCGGGATTCTGCCGAGATCACGCCAAAGAAGCGCACTGCTCCTCGTATTGCAGAGTCAGAGTATTACTCGGAGGAAAGACATGATGTCTTTGCTCGAGTCCAAATCCTGGAGATGGCGGAGTCTGGCGAGTATCTTCCTGTGGAGGTTGTTCAGAATAGCCCCCTTGACTCCGGCACATACCAACTCCACCAAGGATTGCAGCGCCGTGTTTCGATCAACATGACCTATAGCTCCACTGAAAGCCTCCCGTGGGATGATATTGCCAATGCGCGTGTCGGTTCCGTACGACTTCTCGACCCATGGGGCAAAATCCCCGACCAAGATCTCCAGACCCCGGATGTCCCACTCAAGTTCCTGCAGGAACCGATGGTCAAGGACAATGCCGACGGCACATCGAATGTCACGATTGTGGGGCAGTGGGACTCGAGTTTGCACGGCTCTCTGCTCCTTGACCGAGTGACCGCAGACAAGTATCGAGTCCAGGTCACTGTTCGCTGGGACCTCGTCTCGTCCCGTCTTCAGACCCCTGTTGTGTTCGAGGTCGACCAGACTCTGCAGATTTTGGGACGTACCTACGTTCGCCAGCAGTCGATGTTCAAGCAGCTCTGGAGCTCTACGCGAGTTGTGCACTCGACCACGCAAATGTATTCTCTGGTCATCCGCCCTATCTCTGCCAAACGTGCCGCCGATCTCTGGCGCATGAACACACAAAATGACTACGTCAAGGGAGAGGAGCTATTGACAACGTGGGCGCCCCGCAAGGTCTCGCTGGTTCGGGATTATATTGCCGCTCGCAAACGCCGGTACCGACTGGCTGAGCTACATGCTGCCCGAGGCGCTCTTAGTGCCGGCAGCCTGATGGCTTCTCCGGCCCGCAGTGGCCGATCAACACCCATGCGCAACCAGGATCTCAGCGAGCGAAAGTCTAAGCTGCTTCGCAAGTACCTTGACCTTTGGGCGACTAAGAAAGACCCTACCGATGCCATCCTAGTCCGGAGCAACACCGAACCCCCTGCGGACGGCGCCGCAGCTCAACGCAAGTCGAACGGCACGGATGCCGCCGACAAAATGTCGCTCAAGCCGCGTTTTGTGGCCACCATCCAAACTCTACCGAAGAATCCTTCTGCCTTGAAGTCGGGCTATGTACTCACTCCTGATGACACCAACAGCGTTTGGGTTCGACGGTTCGTGGAGCTTCGCCGGCCGTATCTTCACATCTACTCCGCCGATGGAGATGAAATCAACGCCATCAACCTACGCAATTCCCGTGTCGACCATGCGCCTGACTTTGCCAGACTACTTGATGGCTCCGGTGCCGGTGCTGATCGCTCGCTCTCTGCCAAGGGCCGGCCCAATATCTTCGCCGTCTACGGGACCCAGAACACCTTCCTTTTCGCCACGCGCACCGAAGCGCAAAAGGTGGAATGGATCCTGAAGATCGATGAGAGCTACTTCAGCAGCAACGGTGGCAGCGCAGTAGCCAGCGGTGACGAGCGGTAATCACCCTCGTCGGTACTCCTTACCGCACATCTGGCTATCTCCTTTCATGTCTTTGACGATATAACGGGCTCCGGAGTCTCTACCACTTTGCTCTGTTCTTTTCTTTACTCATCCATTCGTTAAAACACCCAAACCTCCCTGGCCCAATTCTCTTTTTCTTTTTATCCATATTTATGACCTGTTGTTGAGATACCCCCTTGAATATATCAACTGGCTGTGGCGCTTCCCCCTCCCATGTACATAGTTCGATATCGTTGGGAACATAGATGCGACGGTGCTCATTGATTTACTTATACAGTGACCATCTTGATTTCCTTTGATTGGGATTTTCTTTTTCTCTTTTCATGTTACCTTGTATAATACAGACGATTTTCTTTTAGCCGATGGTGATCAGGGTGTGGTAAATTCCGCATCAAAACTGGGAGAAGACAACTCCTCAGGGACAAAGTGAAATCCAGCCTCGCTTGGAGATAGATCGCAATTTGCCAAGTTCGTCATTTTCGGTGTAAGACTCACGGGAACATACTAGATCTAATGTTGAAGATCAAAGGATGCAAAGAGCAGTAGTAATTTTGAAGATTCGCTTGGTGACTATGTTGTAGCTTCTCTTGGAATCTATCATGACTGAAGGCTGTCGGCCATGCCAACACTTACAGCCTTGTCGTTGATTCATCGAATGCCCTGAACGAATAACTATTTTCTTCTTTCAATGCATTGTCAAGGTGTTCTAGGGATCTTGTGAAACATGTAGTCAAGTTAAGCCTCGGGACGCGTAATCACTGAGATTTTCCTGCAAATCGGCGTCATGTCTCAAGTCACCACGACTTAGATTTGTATGAGCAAGTATTAAGCTCCACTGGTCTAGGTACAAGGATTATACCATAGAATCTGTATGGGTTTCATGCGGCATATCTCAAGCTATCCTGTAGATTTGACATCGAACGGTCCGTCCATTTCCGGGTCTAGTCGAACTGCACCATTTAGACCTGACCGATCGGGAGACTGGAAGACTAGCAAATTCATTCTCATCGGTATTCGACAAATAGACGTTGCCCTCGTCTTCCTCCAAGTCCATCTCCCATCCCACGAGTCTCTTCCATCTCCCACCCTTACCTCGGCCCCTCAGATTCAAAACCTAGTCAACTGACTTGTTTTTCGCAGCGTCACACTTCACGATATCATCGACGATGAGTGTCCTAGCATGTTGTCACTACCCACCGTCCCCGTCATGCGAGCTGTCGATCTGCGACCAGTCAATAATCCACAGCTTCGCGGGTGACATCATTGTGTCGTGGTCGCTCAGCATATCCTCACCGACTGGTCGGGACTGCCTCCATCAAGTGCTGGTCGCAAAGTCAGTATGCGGGGTAAACCCACAGCGTGCACACTTTTCAGGTGGTCTCAACGTGATGGGTTCCAATCGGAATGGACGATACACAGCCTGATCTACAGAAGGAGTATTGCCGGTGTTGATCTTCACGATCCAAACGTGCTTTATTGGAGATCGCCCGCTTGGCTTGAGTCACCCGCATGCCTGTTTTTATGGTTGTCTCTTCGAGGAGCAAATCGTGTGGGACCTGCTTTGAATGACGAATGACAAATAGAGGCTGCACACTAATACCACTTGATGCGGTAGCGAGCCCAGAGAAATCATCTTTACAGCGTCCTTTCGACTGGTATGCGACATGCGACATGCGGCATTGCTTTGTTTTTGAGATTCTCCAAGACGGAAAGTGTGGGGAAACAAGTTTGAAAGCCATGGACTATCCCCGAGATGGATCCATGGCACGGGACTCGGTCTATGGAAGTATATCCAGTGGTATCCAGTGGTGTTATTGAACTGGACTCATGAGATTCGGGGGGATGTATATGGTGCGGTATTGACTTTACCCAGCAAATCAGTCTCAAAGTCGAGTTGCCGATTATGAGGACTTTGTGCAACCCTGCCCACGAAGCTAGCCATGTGTTCGGCTCATCATGGAATGCACGAGTATGTGATTCTTGCTGGCATTCGTGCCAGCACACTTCGGACGGTCGGAATAACCACGCGCCCTGTGCAACGGTGGCAGCGCCTTCACGATGGTCCCCGAAATAGTCTCGGCGGGTGGCTGGGGCTTACTTCTCCAGGACGCCTAAAGCCGACAACAATCGACGGTTTATTACGTTATCTTTGTCGCTTAACTTAGCGGCCAACTCACCCCCAACACTCGGCGCTATGCCAACAAGGGGTCATACATTGGACCCTTATCTTTCATGTTATTTTCAGGGTCTGTTTTCGCCCCAAGGAAGATGAGATGTTGTGTCAGTTTCCTCACGTACAATCTCTCCTTCATGGTCGACCGTCAGGGGCGGTCAACTCGCCCTTGCATGGCACCTCTGCTAGCTCTTTACTTCTTTTGGTGTATTCAAGACACTTTTCTTTTTCCTCTTCTTTGAGACATCTATCACTTTGGCCTCCAAGGGCTTTGACCGCCACGATCGGCGGCCTCACGGTTGGCCTCGAGTCATCCAAGCCCATGTGCCTTGACCAAGTTGGGCCGAGCCCTTGGCAGGTGGATCAATCATCACACCCACGATAACTCCATCGGTATATTCCACTCCCCACTCAGATTAACTTTCAATCCTCTGGGGGCGGATCTACCGTCCCCAAAAATCTCTCTACCCTGCGATGCCAACACTCTCAACAATACCGGAGTAGACTAGCCTGCTGTATAGTCGGCCTTGTAAGACTCTCTCAAGGTAGCAACGGCCTCGTGGGAAGTCTATACCCCGTAATTTCTACCCGAAAGGAATTCCCTAGCCCTACAATCGCTCCTGAATTAGATACTTGGCAAGAATCAACGACGAAACTCGTCTCCACCGACGTGACTCCGCATCTCTCTCTCCCCCTACTGACCTCACAACTATCTCATGATGCTCCGCCCGTTTCGGAAGTAGACGGCACCCATATCTCGGGGGTCGGTTTGGATCTGACCCACTGATTGGGATTTTCCCTACCACACACATATTAGTCTTGGCCGATGCCATGCGTGCATCGAAGCCAGCCTTGCTTCTACCTGCTGACGGAACGATAACCAACCCGACGATTGGGCTCCGGCCTGACCTCAGCCCTTCAGGTAGCTCGAGCATTGGCACAAGCTAGAGCATGAGTGGATCGCAGAAGTCGGTCTCACCCGCATCCCGAATGCACCTGATGGATCTTCTATGTCAGGCTTGCGGCTTCTCGTGCCTTTTGTTCCCCTTGCGTGGTAGGGTCCGGAGTCATATATCCGCTCTCAGGCCAATCCTGCCAAGTTGGGAGGGGGGGCAATATTGGGCTTGGAAGGTGGATAGGTACCCACGATGTGATTCTGTAGTAGCGGTGGACAACAATTATAAGACCGGCCACCTGCCCTTGTAAGCGAAAGTCCTAGTTTTAGTTTAACGCCCAACACTGTCTTCCATTGTCCCATTTTATGTCCGTGGATTAGCAGATACAATGGTGTCTTTACTATTCTCTTCAACTGCCACATGGGTGGTCCTCTTCCTAGCCCTATTTCAAGTAGTCCTCGGCTCACCACTTATACCAAAGCGAGCCACGGGACCCTGGATGGGTTTGAACACTGACTTCCCGGACCCAAGCTTCCTGAAGGCCGCTGATGGAAAGTGGTACGCCTTTGGAACAAATGGTAACGGCAAGCGTGTTCAAGTCGCAGTTTCGGATGACTTCTCCAAGTGGACTCTCCTTGATATTGAAGCTCTGCCAACTCTGGCAGGCTGGGAGACGGAAAGGGATCACTGGGCACCGGATGTAGTGCTACGAGTAAGTCAAGACTTGTCTCATGTCTTCTTCGCCCAACAAAATTGGTCAGGACTAATAACCCCGTACAGGCGGACGGAAAATACGTCATGTATTATTCGGGGGAGTCAAAGAGCGATATTTCCCATCACTGTATCGGAACAGCCATTGCAGACAAGCCCACGGGACCATATGTCCCCAACGAGACCCCACTATCTTGCAGACTGGACCGAGGAGGCTCCATCGACTCGGCCGGATTCTGGGACAAAGACGGCAGCAGATACGTCGTGTTCAAAGTCGACGGCAACAGCGTCGGTCACGGCGGCGACTGCAACAACGGCGTCGCGCCTCTAGTATCCACCCCGATCTTGTTGCAAAAGGTCGCAGCGGACGGCGTTACGCCGATCGGAGATGCAGTTCAGATTCTTGACCGCAATACCAATGACGGCGATGGACCTCTCGTGGAAGCGCCGAGCTTGGTGCTGCACAATGGAGTGTACTTCTTGTTCTACTCGACCCACTGCTTTACGGATCCTAAGTATGATGTTCGGTACGCTACTGCAACAAGCATCACGGGGCCTTACCATAAGTCGAATGTCGAGTTGATCAAGGGCGGTGATTATGGTGGTCTCATTTCTCCCGGTGGTGCAACGGTGTGTGGATGTGGAGATCGCATGCTGTTCCATGCCTGGTGTGATAGCTCGTTGACGAAGCGGTGCATGTGGGTGGCGAATCTTCAATTGAGCGGGACGACTGCCTCTATTGCTTAGTTTTGAAGAGGCTTTGCAAGGGAGCTTCTGGATTTGTTTTTTTGTGATTGATGGTTTTGTGCTATATACCCCCCTTACACTCGTTGAGATGTTCTGCTTTTGTCCTCAACTTATGGACTGGAATGTTATTTTTGTTGCTCTTTTATCAGGATGGCTTTCAAGTAAATCAACAAATTTGAACCGGAAGACTTCACCAAATACATCCGAAGGATAGCCAGGGGAAATTAGAGGGTGGATTATCAATTAGCAGTCTCATGGTGGTAAGGGCTAAGTCTAGTACAGCACCGTTGACGACTATTTATTTTGCATATTCAGCGATCAACAAGTCACCATATTTTAGTCTACGCAAGTCTATAATAGATAGATAAATTGGTAAATCACTAGTCTTCCGATTCTCATTAACACATCTCTTTTCATGATTGTATTAGGATTCGCTGTTGTGCTTGGTTTCCTTGGCCTTAGCCTCAGCTTCCTTCTTGGCACGTTTCTTCTCCTTCTCCTCCTTCACCCACTCTGCGACTTCTCGAATCGCTCTCTCGGGGTGGCCCTTGTGCTTAAGGAGATATCCCTGGATCTCAGCGGGGGAAAACTCTCCACTGGGTACAAGAGAAGCAAAGTCCTTGGCAAGAGACGCAATACGAATCTGCAGCTCGTGCCGACGTCCGTGAACACCGTTTGGCTTGCGTTCTTCTGTTCCTCCATCAAGAAGCTTCCCATCATCCCTTGGGCCTTTTGCATGCTTTGCAGTACCATTCTGTGAAGGCGGTCTGCTTCCATTCTCGAGGCGACGAGTGCGTACTTCTTTCGAGACAGAGTAAATTGATTTGTAGAGCTTCTCAATGTCTTCAGAGATTGCTAGTCTGAACTCAATCTGCATATCAACACGGCCTGCGCGCAAAAGTGCATCGTCCAGCTTTTCAGGATGGTTGGTTGTCATGACAAGGATACGACCTTCACTGGCAGCTACGCCGTCAAGTACATTCAGTAAGCTTGAAAGTGTGATTCCGGGTTGCTCTGCCTTCTCGGCTGAGTTTCTCTTGCTGGTGTCATTCGGAGAGGATTTCTCACCCGGCTTGGGGGGCGAGTTGTCATCTTTGGTATTAGCAGACTGGGGAAACATCGATGGTCCTCGGCTGTGGGTGATCTCGGAAGTATCAACATCTTCGACGAGAAGGATGCATCGTCGAGGCAACTCGGAGAACAGGGAGTACAGATTGTCCTCGTCCAGGGCTCGGGAGCTCAGATTCAAGAGATAGATCTTTAGTCCAAGCTTGCCTGCCACCGCGAAGCAAAGACTGGACTTGCCAGTTCCTGGGGGTCCGGAAAGTAGATACCCACGCCGGTAAGGGATACCATGCTCCGCATACCATGCAGCCGTTCCTCTCTCGAGGTAGTTTTCGATATCGGCAAGAAATCCTTGTTTCTGAGTATCATCCAGGATCACCGTATCCAGAGGTCGTGGCGGTCGAGACATGCATCGGCTCCAACTAAATGTCGAACCAGAGGAACATCGCTGTCCCCGATAAATGATCGTTCGACCACCGTCGCGCTCGACAAATTTTTGCTGAGCATCAGCCAGCAGCTTGTGGAGAATGGAAGGGTCCCGACCCAAGCATGACAGGTATAGCTTCTCGTTGTTGAGTACCCAGCGAGCTGTCGTCTGCTCGTATCGTCGGTCCAGCATCAACAGCCGCCCCTGGTACCAGAAGTAGTGACGGCCCTGCGCAGGTGTAAAGCGGAGCTTCTTGTACTTGTCACGGTTGATAACTCTCGTCCAGTAGTCATCGAACGATTCTGCACTCGTAGAGCTATCAACACCCTCCCACTCGTCATCTTCACTGTCCAATTCCTCGCGGTCAGAATCTTCGTCATCGCTCCAATAACCATTCGTCCGGACGCCGGCTAGGAATCGGTTTGTGCGCTTTGTATGCGGCTGTCGGGACCACCAGTACATGAAGTAGTTGAAGATCTCATCGTCCAGGCGCATCTCTGCAGTGGAGATGAGGTATGTTTCGAAAAATTGTGTCAAATAATCGGAGACATAGCGCATAGAGATGCCGAACAAGGCCAATGCAATAAAGTATTGTAGATAAGCGGCCAGATCAATGTGAAGATAAGAAAGGAAAATGCGGGATATGAACGTATACCCCGGAATCAAGGCCTCTAGGATAGCCGTGTCGGATTGTGACAGAGAAACCCTCGTTGACGAGGGGTCTGACTGATTGGCAGCCATGGGCGCCAGAAAGTCGTGATGGTATGAAAGGAAAACTTCAAAAAGTTTGCTGAAAAGACCTTTTAATATTCCAGAACATTTCAGCCTCAGCCTCATGATCCAGCTTGGACCTCGCGTTAACAACTACCACATCGGGCGCCCGCAGCTGGGTTCTAGCGGCCCCTCCCAGTGCTGCCTAAACGGCTGACTCACGCCAGTGCATCGTGCAAGTTATGTGGAGCTGGACAGGGGAAAGCTGCATACAATGACGAGGATTGTGCGGGCATGCCGTGGACTTTCGAACATCACAAGGAAAATACAAGTATGTCAAAGCCCGACCCTGGTGGCAAAGTATAGTGAATTTGATGGCTATCATTGCTTTAGATACACAATGAATAAAAGACTCTGATCTTACCTTGACATGTCCAATATAAGCGATAAGCTGAGATTATCATGGAACTAAGATCAGAAAAGCTTCTTGAAGCTTATGAGACATTTAGGGATACTTGCTTTGTCCTCTCAGCTTTGTCCTCTCAGCCGCCGGTTGGTATTTCATGATCACTGGCTAAGCAATCCTGTCGTAGTCTAGGTTAAATAGACTAACTACTTATCTAAGACCTTCTCAAGCATGCAGTGTGACTTGATCGTTTTCATTAGTAATGCGATTGTTCTTCGTTTTGGCCACAGCATCAAGTCCAATCACTCGGCATGGCAGGATGTCCACAGGCTGATCGGGCATCGAGCTAGTCGGGTTCCCCATGGTGACATTCCTCATTCTTCTATTTTCGCATTCAAATAAAATAACAACAGCGCGGCGAAGCACCGCGTAGTGCATCTGGTCCAGACATGGAAACTGTCAAAAAGAAACTCTCCCTCGGGGAATCGAACCCCGGTCTCCCGCGCTTATCGGTGTTAATGACAAGCGGAAATCATGACCACTAGACCAAGGAAGATGAAATGACCGAGTTACTGCTCGACCACTTGGTGCTGGTTGATGTTTGGGAGGGCAAATATTGAATCTATGACCTTTTTAGAATCTCCTACGTTCTCCCCACCCATATCCAACCCGCAAGCGGTGATCTCTTTCATAACCCCCTCCCTAGGTGATAATGATGGGATTGGTCAAAACATCTACTAAATTTTTGTGATACAATAGTTGGCTTGATTAATTTGCAATATCCAGTATTCCAGGGCACCCGGTCGCGAGCGTGATTCGTCCGGCGGAGTAGTGTGATATATATCTCTAGTGGCCATCATACGCGGTAATACCTCCTTCCGACCGATTTGCTACTACTCCCTACGATGGAACAACAACATCACTTATTAAGTATACAATAGGAATAAAGATTAGTTGTATATATATGCTCAAAGATGGGTATCTATCATAATGTCACCGACATTGACGAAACATAGAAAAGCAAATGCAAAGCCCCAGACGAATCCCGCCAGGCGCTATCTCTGTTGCGGGTGATTATCCTTTTCGGCAGAGAAAAGCTGTCCCGCCCACTGCTTGAAATCCTCAAGTTTCCCTGCCAGTGTTCCCCACCAGGTAGATCCCTTGTCATCATTACTGGTATCATCATTGCTGGCAGGCTCTGTCGCAGAGGGTGCGTCCGTTGCAGCAGATGTCGGTTCCGAGGGACCAGCCGTGACCGTGGCAGATAAAAGCTCTGGAGGATCGGACGGCCGCACCTGCGGTGGTGCGTGTTCGTCGGAATGAAGACCCACCGGTTTCAAAGGTAGACGCAGCGTGCCGTTGTTTGGTTGTGGAACGACCCCCAATGAGTCACAGAGGATGTTGTACACCTCGATGTTTTCTAAATGAGTGAGTCAGTGTGGTAACTCTCAACCTCCGAGCATAGCCACTTACGGAAAGGTTCAAGGCGGCTGTTGGGTTTATGCGGGAAAGCAGGGCCCCGGGCGATGAAGATCGCACGCATCAGTGGGTGTTCATGGTCGTACCCATGTATTCCCTTGGGATGATAGACCTCCCCGGTCTCCAATGCCTTCTTCACGTCAAATTCAGGTCGTTCGACGATCGCCCAGCCTGTCCGAGGGATCACCCACAGAGGAGCGATGCGATCGTTATTCGAGAAGTGATAGCGCTCAGGCATGGTCTCCCGAGTATAGACCTCCACTGCATCTGCATACTTTTTGGCTAGCCTTGCTAATTGTGCCTCGAGCATTTCCATATTCTCGGGCTGCTTCGGACGTAGACCACGAGACGGCCACCCGTCAATTCGCTCAACGAGCTTGAGGTCTATCTCATCATCCAACTGAACGAGACGTTCGGTTGAAGTCGAAGCCATGCCATGATCTGATACGACCACGATGTTGACTAGGTCTGTGAGATTGCGACTTTCCAGACCGGCAACGATTCCCGCCACAAGATCATCAGCATGGGAAATGGTGGTTCGTATCTCAGTGCTGTTCGGTCCATAATTGTGTCCATCCTTGTCAACATCTGGAACATAAGCCGCAATGAATTGAGGGCGGAGCGGCTTGAAATCGGACTCGTCCTCTGGACCAGGCAGATCAAGGAGCTCGAGGACCCGATTGACCTTACGGGGCAGAGCTTCCGAGCCATTGTATTTATCCACATAGCTCGGCTCGACGATCCCGATGTGAGCCTCTGATCCTGGCCACATATGAATCCCGGTCTTGATTCCTTGTTTTTCTGCCGTCTCCCACAAGGGCTCCGCGTTCCACCACTTTGGCTGCATACTGACAGCGGGATGGGTGTAGTAAAACTCCTCACCGAGATCGGGGTCCCAGAAAGTATTACCGACTACACCATGGCTCTCAGGATATAAGCCAGTTACGAGCGTGAAATGATTCGGAAACGTCACGCTCGGAAAGCTGGGTGTCATGTATTGCGGGGAGACACCGTTTGCAACCAGCGAATTGAGGGCTGGAGTTAGACTGCGGTCAAGGAAGTCGGCTCGGAATCCGTCTAGCGAGATCAGTATTGTGGTAGGCGCGAATAGCGAGGTACCGTTTGAGAGAAGAGGCTGGATATGTGGATGTACAGCTCGGTAGGTACTGGAGGCCTTGTATGCGCCCAGAAAGAGGATGAGGAAGAGGATGGCGATGATGACAGAAACAAATGATATTCTGCGCCATGATGGCCTGGAGGGCTGAAGTAGAAGAAGGAGGAAGTTAGTGGGCTAAAAACAAGAGGTCTAAAGGGAGAATGTCACAAGGATGTACCGGCTCATAGAGATCGTCCTCTTTTCCCTCCGAGTCCATAGAAGATCCACTCATCAAGGATGAGGTCTCATCATCTCCGAGTCCTTCTTCCATTTCGTACATCAGCTCTCCTTCCTCGCTAACTCGTTCCCGGCGCGATAACCGGGCTTCTTTGCGCGCTCGTCGCCGCTCCCTCTTGCCAATGCGCACACTATTCCCGTTTGGACTGAAAATCCTGCGCAACCCATGAGCAGGACCACGCCTTGTCAACAGCTTTTCCAACTCATCTTCATCCTCGAGGACACTTCGATCGTGCTGGGAAAGTTCTAGCGTGCTGCGGGGGTGACGAAGGAATGCGTCGTCATCGGAGTCAGAGTCCTGCTCCGACGGCGATCGCAAGGAGGCCGCATCATTGTCGTAATGGGCCGGAGAGAGGAGGGACGGACTGCGCGGGTTTGGCATGGCTGGCGAGCGCGTCAGCCGCGGCGTGAAGACATTGAAGCTTGAAGCTCAAAAAAGGGCGTTAAGTTGACTGCCCGAAGCAAAAGGGAGATCGGCGGCGGGTTAACCCCCGACCCGCCAAGACTATTTGTCTTCGATCTTCATCTTGTAAGCGCCGCGCCGCCAGCTGGAATCGCTATACATCCTACACTTGTTTATGATTTGCGACTGCAAGTGCAGTGAGCTCCATGGAAATCATGATCGAAGAGATCATCGAAGCTCGATGGGCAATTTGCCGGGAAACGGCCATGATGAGCCTGGATAGTGCATTTCTCAGGCGATGACGCCGACGAAGAACTAAAACAAACAAAACAAAGCATGGCCTCTGCTCCTGTTTCTTGAGATGTGCACGAAAGTTCCCAGAGGACTAAGGAAAACTGTTGGTCCTTGGCTGACATGACCATTTCACGCTTTCATCTCTGTTTGGTGCTGGGGAGTGGTGGCTTCCACTACACCTTGGTCTGAATCTGGAAGCAAAGCACATGTCGAATGTCTTGAAGGGTTGAATCTGACAGATGCATTGGAATGCAGCTTTATTGTCCCCACTGACAAAGTTGAACGGAATTGTCAAGTCCATTGAAGATCCCTAATCTGGGGTCGATGCGTCTAGCATTCTTGCCGGATGGACGATCAAGGTCGCACCTGTCAAGGACGATTGTCAATCTGAGCAGAAAAGCAGCCATCTGTATACGCAATTTCCCCGGATGCAGTGGAATACGGCGATTGAATTCGCTTTGAAGCGTCTCTTGGTCCGGGAGTGACCCTTCATGCACACAAGGACGACTGGCTAACTTGGTCGCTCAACGAGAGAGCCCGCTCGATACAGACTACCTCATTTGGCTCTAATTCGAGCAATCAAACTGACAAAACTTCACTTAATTGTTGATACCGTTCAGCACTCCTTTGTATTACTCATGCTTGCACCTGTCTCTATGCCGACCGTCGAGACTTCCATGCCCTGCGACTCACTAGAGCTGACTACATCTACTTGGAGAGCACCATCTGTCAGCTGAATCTAAATTGAAGTAATTGTATCTTCTACCGTGTGAATTCCTCGGGCTGAACTACTGGCGATCTCTTCAGCCGTTCTCTCAATGACACATTGTACATTCCTTTCGTGACGTGGCACCCAACGCACCTCGAAGGACCCTCACACCTGAAAGCAGACTATCACCACAACTGTACCCCAGACAATGCAATTGTCCACGTTTCTCCCATTGATTGACGAGGAATTCCCCATTGGCGCTGTGACGCCGATCGTGATCCGTCCGTTTTCGATGCCATCGTTTTCCTATTCGGGACAATAGATCACGTGACAGACAGTTACCCTCTGCGGCGACGATGGTTTCCACCTTCGCCACGCCATTTGGCTGATTAAGTCGGGGTATTGGCCCCAAGAAGCTTCCTATCAGAGATTCAAAGTGGATCTGGTTCGGCCGGAGACCCAGAGTGACATCGGGGTGCGCACCCCCGGATGCGGAAGCTCAAGAGGTGCAAATCTCGTATCACAGCTGTGGCACCGTGGCTCTCTCGAGGGGAGAGAGAGGCACAGGAGATTATTGCGAGGAACATAGAAAAAAAATTCTATTTCTTCTGACATTGGCATCATCACTTACCACACTGACCTGACAGGCCGGATTTGGACACCTTCTAATCTATAAGAATGGCTTCCCCGGCACCCAAAGTCTGGTTCAAGATTTCTTACCACAAAGCTTCCATCGCATAAATATCTTGCCCTCAAGGTAAGTTTCCTTCATAAGAAGCTCCAGCTACTCGAACATATCATACTGATACCCTTCTCCAGCTTCGTCATTCGTTAGACAAGAAGCCCTTCTTCCTTCTTGAGTCAATCGCTTCAGCTCCATCCACACAAAAGCCATAATGCACTTCTCCACTCCCCTTCTGAGCCTTCTGGCCATTGCTGCCGGCGTCCAGGCCATCGTCACGCACGAGCCCCCAGTTCACCAGAAGAGTGCCTCCGTCCAGGGCACTGCCGTTAGCACTGGTGCCCACCCCATTATGACCGGCACCAACGGTGCCAACAACGGCACCTCCGGCGGAAACGGCACTACTGGAGGCGGTGGTACCTCCGGCGGAAACGGCACCACTGGAGGCGGCGCTGGAGGTGGCGCTAGCTCGAGCTCGGGCGCTGGCGGCGCTGGTGGTGCTGGTGGTGCTGGTGGTGCTGGCTCAACCTCGGGCGCTGGTGGCGCTGGTGGCGCTGCCTCGGGCTCTGCCAGCAACACTCCTGCCTCCCCCAGCTCTACCGGCTTCGTCCCCTCCAACCCCGGTGCCAAGGTCTCTATTCCTCAGCTGGGAATGGTTGGCGCTGGTATTGGCAGCGTCGCCTATGGTGCCCTCATCTTCCTCGCTTAAGTGGGAAGTTAAACAATTAATATCTTTTTTTTGTTTGGCTCTTTGGTGTTTGTCCCCCCACTCGAAACTTTGTCTTTTCGCCTCGATAACTATTTGGGACTACTTTCGGTTGGATATAAATGGCTGCTGCCTACTATCTTACTGAAATTGTGATCTTGGGATGATTGTCGATACCGAAAAGCGATGGACTACCTGGGTGAGGAGGGAAGGCGTTTACAGGTGGCTTTAGACTGCGCTCTTTGTACTGTTATTGGGTGTTTGGGTGAATATATTGAACTAATACAATCTTGATTCTCACAAAATTATCAACATTAATTCACTTGGCTTCCCCTAGGTGCGTTGTCTTGCAGGTAGAATTGATCAGGTCAAAACTAGTCCATAGGCTAAAAACGGCCAGGCCCACCCAAGTCATGATCTCGACTTAAACCTTATCTTGGTGGCGAATGCAACCCTGGGACCTGTGACGATTGCATATACTCTATTAATAGTCAGTGGCGTGACGAAATTGCCATTTAGCAGTGTCCCGAATGTCGGCGAAGTTCGCTCATCTGCTCGTCGTACTCTATAGTGTTCGCAGTTACGCATCATAGGAACAAGCCTAAAGTTTAAGAAGAGCTTTTTACCTAGCATGGATGCAACATCGTCATCTCGCGTTGGCGCCAGGTAAACCTGAAAAGGTAATCGTTCTAAATTTGGAGGCAGAAATTTTGCCAGAGGACGGAGATTGCCGGTGCATATTCGATGACTTCAGCTTTATACTAGATTTACCGCTTCAGAGCTCTCATCAGCGGAGAATATATCAGTTGACAAAGCTGGCCCAATCAAAGGGCCTGGGAAAATGGCCTAAAAAGAGAAATCTCCATTTGAGATGCTATTTTCCTGCATCGCTCAACCTAAAATCTCTAGAAGAATATCGTATCCAAGGCGAGGCCCTGCTACTAATGATTGTAAAAATGGTTATGAAATTCATGGATAAGATGTACTATGACCAGCTGTTCAACTTCGAGGGTATCTACAAAGATTCTTTGTACCTCAATTTGTGAGTATCCCGATCAGGCAACATCATTTCGTTTTGCCGTCGAGAAAGATGTCCGCTGAGAATGAGTGAAATCGATTCAAGTAAGCCAATAGGCCAATACATAAATCCATGAAGACTCAAACAACAGGGCAAGACAACGTCCACTCCCTTGTCCACTTACAACATCCACTCCTCCTTGATACCCTCAATAGGCCTCAACTTCTCACTAACACTAGCCGTACTCTGCGTATCTAGAACATTCTTAGATTGCACAGATACAATCTTCGAAAGAACTCGATCAACTTGGCGGTCCACGTGTCTGAGCTGCGTGATATAAGAGTCTCTAAGCGATGTTTTGCTGTTTGCATATCCATTCGGAGCAGGGCTGTAGGTGGAAATGATTTTCCTACTTCGGATGATCCATCGTGATTGTGGACCTTGTTAATCTTGGCCGCGAATTTGTCACCAATTGCCTGAGGTGGATCACCGCCCATATAAAAGCAGTATTTCAATATCGGGCGCAATAGTCTAGCAGTTCTGGCTCTTGTGCCAACTCCGCACAATTGACGGTACGAGAGTGGCCATGTCCATCGAAGTATGTTTCATAGCCTTGACCAGTGCAGAGGCCGTGGGGAGTCCTGCAGCGGTGGGAAGAATACAAGTCACATTTGCGGGGATATTGATGAAAGTCAAGCTTGCTGGACATGCTACGTGGAAAGACGGCAAAGGCATGACATGTATCTTTCCAATTGACCACATATGTTGGTTTTCGAATCCCTCGGGAGCATCTGAGTAGAACTTACGCGTGTGTGCACATCCCGTGGACAGCTTCCAGATAATTGGTTTGTGGATGCCGCTAGAGCCAGAGGTATGGACGATGGCGAAGATGTCGTTCAGGTCCGCCGGGTAGGATTTAGTATACTCAAAGTGTGGGGTTTCTGTAGCGAGTAACTCCTGAACACTTGGGATGTCGTACACTAACAGTGGCACTGCGTCCAGAATAGCAGTGATAAATGGTGGTCTCGGAACAGGAGCGAAAATCTTGGCTCAATTAAAACTTTCGAACAGATCTTCATGAGCGGCAATGCTATTGCGAGGGAGGGAGAGAAACATGCAGTAGCCTGCTTTCACAGTATTGAGGATCAAACCCGGATATGGTAGGTCACTGGGGTCAAGATAAGCCGGAATTTCGCCATAATGATCAACACTGTGAGGGAAAATTTCCGTCCGAATTCCTCCTTCGGACGGAATAATGCCATGTTTGGCTATCCTTGAATGTCACTCATTCTTACACATACCAGGCCGAATGTTTATGGGGAAAAAATGGCTAATATAGATGACGAGTTCACAATGATTTCAGACCCCGTAGATCCCCTCACAAAACCGAACCTTGAATATGAGGGAATAGTCTACATGACGACAGCAAAGCGCTTTCATGTCCGATGCAATTTGAATGGAATAGCATCCCCATGAAAGTGGACATACCATGCCAGAAAAGAGACGTTATCACTATATTAACGCGGAAAACCCGTCTATATGCATCTTTCTACCAGCCCCGTTCTAATTATTTACGCTAAGACCGCAGCTTTAGGCCTTCAGCTCACCATATCCTCTTTAAGTGCCAATCGAGCACAGTGGATTCGTGCCACCGCACTGTTGATCAGCATCCACGCCTAGATTTCGCAGCTGGAAAAGCTGCCTCGTTTGGAGCACTGGCAGACTACTGCTGGTTCTTCTGACTCCCAATTAGGAAGTTGAGCCTGGGATTGGTCTCACCTATATCCGAACTTAGTGCAGTGTTATTGGAGGCAAGACACTGCTGATTCTACTCCACAGCGCGCCTGTATACTAATTCAATTCTAGAATGATACCTGCGTTATCTAGCTCCAGGCAGCCTTTGGAGCTTGTGTGACTTCAATGCTAATGCTGCTTGGAGCGGGGTTTGCTGTTAGTAACTACTTTGAAAGCAGTGTCGAATTGGCTTTATAAAAAGGTGCTACTTACTTGCATAGCCTGACGATGGACGTCTCCTGCCTTTTTAGGAAGTAGTATGATAAGACTTCCAGGAGAGATGCTGAGCATTTGGAAGGGCCGAAAATGATCAAGAGTAGCGTGATTCTGGATACTGCTTTCATGTTCAAGTGGCATTTGGTTGGCGTACTCGATAAATAACAGGTTTTATTGGTGACCCACATGCCCCCACATTCTGTTGCTTAAATGTACGAGATGAGTCTGATAATTATCCTCATTCTCTCATGCATGATCTACAGTAATAAAACAGAATTCCACTTGATATAGACCGTAAAGAGGAAATGTGACCTAATGTGACACGAAAGAATCTTTGAAATTTTGTATCAAAACAAAGGAAAGGCATCACAAACGATGCTCTATGCAAGAAACGAAAAAAATCCCCCAAATCCAAACCCCAATCATGCTCAAGACCTCACGACCCAATTCGCCCATCGACAAGCACAACCCCCAGTGCCCCCATCAGTCCCACCATACCCGGAACTCGAAGTCGAATTCGAATCCCCCTCCAAATCATCGAATATCCCCGACGCGGGATTAATCAAAGTGCCCCCGAACCCTCTGTCTTCAAGCTGCAATTTCCGATCCGTGATATTATAATGCTGATCACTCTCCAGACCGTAACAATACAGCAACTTCTTCTTCTCCGCGCCACCGTGTCGATCAATGGTAATACTAATCGGATACGGGAATGAGCCGGGTCGTGTATAATCGGTCGCCGACGAAGATGATGTCGGCGAGGACGTGGAAGTTGTAGCCGTTGCTGTGGAGACGGTACTCGTGCTCGTACTGCTTGAGCTATTCCCACTAGCCTTGACGAGCGTGTAGCCCATTTTCGACGGCTGAGTCCAGATTTGCACGAGGAAGCGTGTTTGGGACCAGGTGCAGCGGGTGACGGCGTCGGATTCGGTGGAGCCCCCGTCCGTGTCGAGGGGGGAGGAGTCGGTTGCGCTGCCGTTTAGAGGGGCGCGGGAGGCGAGGAAGATTGATTTGTCAAAGTATGTGTAGAACCCGTAGTGTTCGTTGTCTTTGCCGCGGTTATATAGGCGGACCGGTTGGGATTCGGGGAGTGGGTAGAGTGTTGCGGCTGCGGCTGTGCCGTCCGAGTTCTCAGACGGGGCGGGAATGACGGCTGTCAAGTTTGGGAAGAGTGTTGTGTCATTTGTTGAGGAGCGGCGGTAGAGGGAAGTGGATGTTATTTTAAGGGGTGACAGGATAGTCAGGTAGAATGGAGTTTCTTCGCCGGCGTAGGGCAGGGAGTTCCCATCCGTTGTGTTGCCTATGAATGTTTGATCTGCGATGCTTGGTGGTGAGGGTGATGGATCCCAAGAATTGGCATCTGCTCGACGGGTTTTGCTTGAGATTGGAACCGTGCTGTGATTGTATGTCCCGTTGCGGAAGCGGATCTCGAGACGGAAGTTGGGCTCGTCTGCGGCGTAGGGCTTGTTATCGGACTGCTGACCCTTGGGAAGTGCGCAGCTCCATAGAGAGGAGGGTTTGATACAGCTTGACCTCTCGAGCTGAGGTTCGGCTCCGGCGACTGTAGAGATACCCGTTGGCATGGGGGGGTACCCCGTTAGATTGAGCCACTGGGACTGGACTGGAGTTCTGTCGCCCTTTCTGGTTAATGTGAGTGCTAGCACAATAGCCAGAACCACAATGATCAGGAAGAACATGCAAATACAAAAGTACCAGCGCCGTTTCGTGCGACCTTCACGGCCTGGACGGCCAAAGCAACCCTTTTTGCTGAAACAGGCCCGTCCGCGCCAGAACCCGCCAATCTTTCTGCCAATTGCATCCTCCCTTTCTAATCTCTGACGCCGGGCTTCTCCTGGTCCTCTTTCACCGGTGGGATTCATAATGGCTGCCCCAGGGGCTGGATGAAGTGCATATCGTGGAGGCAGAGCTGCTTCGTCACGGGTGTATTGACCGTATGCTGGTGCCGGTACTTGTACTTCATTCATCGAGCTCATTGGAATGGCTCCCGGTCCCCCCGCAGCACGCTGGAATGCAGGTGAAATTGGCTCATTGTGATTTGGATTCGGTGGTGGTACATGATTCTCCTGCAATGGCTCGGAAGTTGGGAACGGTGCCATAGGTGCAGGGACCGGGGCAGCTCTTGTTGACTCCCCGTGTGTTGGATCATGTGCTGCAGGGGGAGGAACTATTGGCCACTCATTCATTGCTCGCGGTTGTTCTTGTGGCATGGGCGCTGGAGGTGGGGGCTCGTTCACAGGGGGGAAAGTAGAGCCGTATTGCGGAGCTGCCCTTTCTATCGGAACGGGTTCTGATGGCGTTGCGATAGGCGGCTGCATATAGTGAATGTTATTCGTTGGTGGTGAAATGGTGTTGATAATCTGAGGAGCCGGTGCTGGTGCTGGGAGTGGCGGTGGTGCTTCGGGCATGACTGCAGGAGCTATTGGAATTGGACCCGGAGGTGGAGGCTCGGGCATGAAAGCTGTAGGAACAGGAGCAGGCTCATGAACTGGCACTGCAGCAGGGGGATGTTGAGCCGGTTGCGCAATTGGAGCATCAGGAACGACTCCTCGAGTCGTCTCCTGTGTTGGTCCAGATAAGCCTTTCTCATGCTCGACTTCGTTCTCATCGGTGATACTCGAAGACCAAGAATCCGAGGAACAAGTCGACGCAGGCGAATTAATCTCCTTCGAATGCTCAATACCCTTAGCGCTCTCTTCCGTGGGCGAGTCAACATCAATAAGAAGACCCTTATTCCCAGCCAATGTTCCGGGCAAACTGCGATCCTTCTGCTGTGCCTGGGCTTCAGCAAAGATCAATCCCCGATCTCGAGTCTCCCCTTTATCAGCCTGAAATTGCGCAGCATAGATGGCCGCTACAACGGCCTCCGGTGTAATAGAGCAGATATGGTTGCAACACTCGAAATAGGGTGTTTTGCTGAACAGTTCGTGGGCACATGCTTGATAATACTCCGCGGCTTCGCCCTGGATAGGTCGTCCACCGAATATCATCGATGTAGTGGTTTGCCTCTTGGCCGACGAGACCGGCTCGTCATTGACTCCAAGGGACCGAGATTGCTCGAGACTTTTCTTGTCCTCTTGCCATTGACTCGGCACGGCCGACTCTGGCGTTTCGGGAGAGAAACAGGAAACTTCTTTCTCCCACCACTCTTTGTGTGTGCCTCTCGTACTTGGCGCACTGGGGGCTGCACCCCGAGGAAACAACGGACTCAGAGGACTTTTCTTCCCCAGGAGTGGGGAAAGAAGATATGTCCACCACCCCTGGGACTCGGGTCTGGTCGCCTGGGTATTGACACTGAGTCTTGTCAAGGCAGTCTGATCGTTATCATCCAGGGATTCATGCACGTGTCCGTGATCCGCAATATCATCCTCAATAAGAGTTTCCACAGACATAGACCTGCGTTTGCGAGTCATAGCCGCAACATGGGCCCTCAGGAAATCCGACTCGCCCGTATTCTTTGTTGAATGTTCCGCTGGTATAACCGGTACTGGCGGGATATCCGGACCATTTTGCCACAGTCGAGGCGTGGGTTGGGAATAGATACTTGACGTTGCGCGGGGCCGCAGACCTTCCGGACTGGATGTCGACCAGGGGGCATCTTCACGGGCGGGCGTCACAACGATGGAAGGTGTAAGGGGTGTCCCGGCGCTATCAATTTCCCTCATATGATGCGAAGACTCGTTGCGAGGCACGGACAGACCGATCATGACATGTCGATCAGAGGGCGAGAGGCCATGATCGAATCTATCACTAAAGGGATTCTCGAGTTTCGGGTCCAGAAATGGATTCGCAGTCTCGTTTTGTATGCGGCTGGTTTCCTCAGGAAGCTGGTGGAAGGATGCTCTCTTCCGGGAGATATTCGACGAATTCATGATCACGGATGGATCGTCATTAGTAACCGTCGAGTCCTTGCCCTGCCCAGATCGTTCCTTCGCCCGATCCTTGGACAACAATTTGAGATCGTTCAAGTCGACAAACGGCGCGGGTCCATTATCAGGTTGTTTCTTCGGCGGCGCCGCGAGTGAAAAGTCCGTGACTAAATTCAACCCCACAGGTTTTGCTACATTCTTCCGTTTCTTCATGATACCCCGAATACTGTGTCGTTTGTTATGATCATGTCGATCCCGGTGAGACAGACTAGGCGAATGATTGCCATCCTTTCCTGATCTCGACTCGATTTTGTGTCTAGTCGCTTTGACTAGAAAGTCAAATGGCCGGGTACGCTCCAAATCTCGATCCTCTGCGGATGAACATGATGGACTCGAGATTTCCTCGCTGATGGGGGATGAGAGGGGGAAGGCTGGAAGGACTGGGACCTGCAGTTGGGGCTGTTGAGGCCGTCGAGAAGGCATTTTGTTTGCTGATATGTAGGATCAAAGAACTATATGCAGAGAAATGTGTCAAGACTCGAACCATCCACGGGAGACGTCAGTCGTATGCTATCTCACAACATACCATGTATCAAGAGATGTAATGCAGAAGACAGCGAGAGAAGTGGATGACTGCTGCAGATGACAAGATGCAAGATGATGATCCTGCAGAAAATGCGCACACACTTTCCAGGTCTCCAGGCAGAGGCAACAAAGAAATCCAGCACCTTCTATTAATACCACGACAAGGCAACTCCCCGAAACAACGCAACGATGAAACGACACCAAATCCGCACAAAGGCGAATAGACTTCCGAACAAAACACCAAGGAAATAGCCACACCAGCGTACGCGTACTCGATCAAACACACAACTTGTAGAGAACGAAGAAGAGGGAGGGAGAAAAAGTAAACGAGACTAGCTTTTAAAAAAAGTATGCCGAACCGATGGCATCAAAAAGAGAAAGAATCAAGAAATTAAAAATAAAACATCCCCACCAGACAGCTTACCCCAAGCTCTAGCCCTTCATTAAAAAAGCCTCCTTTATGAGTAACAATCCCCTAGTCCTAGTCCCAGGCTGGTCCGACTTCAAAGAGACGTCCAACATGCGCATCATCCCACCCACCCAATCAAGCCCCCTGCAAGCTCATCTTCTGCACAAATCCCAGACACCCTCCTGCAGTAGCTTGTCATGATTAGCGCCGTCATTGGCTCCTCGATGAAGATCCGAGAGCCAGTGGCAGACCTGGCAGCGGGACAATGTGATGTTCAGGCTGGGGCTGGGCGGTACGCGCCGGGGGAGGGAGAGGGCGCTTAGAGGGACCAATCACCGACCACGGGCTGAAAATAGAAGTAGAATCTCTCCGAGGGCTTTTTTAGTCTGAAGAAATGGTTTACTGTTTATCTTGTTTTGATCGGCAAGGGGAATCGAAGAATAAAAGTTGTTTGCTAGTCATCGAGCAAGGTGGGTTTGGATTTCTTCGTGGTGCGGGCCCAAGAGTATATAAGGAAACAAAGTATGAGGATATCAAATCGCGTGCCCATGGCACGATTCTGGATATTTGGTACACACTCGCAATCGAGTTGGACACAGGAGAGAGAGAGAGAGAGAGAGAGAGAGAGAGAGAACGCAAAAAAAAGCACACATTACTAACACAAAACACTGGTCATTCCCAGATGCCCAAAACCCGATTCCCAGTGTCCAACCCGACCCCCTCCCTAATCATGTCCAACACATGCAGTATACCAATGACGCTATAGCAGTTACATCACAGACCGCCAAACAGAGCAGGAACGACGGAAAGAAAAAGAAAGAAAACATCCAAGAAGGGAAAATGGTTTGAGGTGGAGAAGCAATGGAGCAATTGCGGGTATGATTGATGACACACAAGGAAAAGAACAATACGCAGAGCACCAAGTGCCAAGTGCCAAGTCCGAGTCCAAAGACGGGACTGAACAGAAGAAGAAGGCCACACCTCCCCCAAGAAGAGACAAGGGGGACGAAAAAGAAAAGAGACGGAAAGGAAACGAAAAAAGGAAACCTGGGATTTTCAAGCCCCGAATCGGTTACTCGAAAAACCGCCGTCCAGGTTTCCATGTCTAAATAACGAGGATATCTTGGAATGGCAATGTGATATAAAAAAGAAGTCGTGGGGTTGAGAGTGCGTCTCGCAGCATGACTAGTCATTTCTCATCCATGGAGTCCCCATGGCAATCGGTAAAGTTTAAGGGTACCGGTAACACAAAAACCCGCAGTTGATTCCCCGGGCCCCGGTCCCACTCTACCGCCGCTCATCAGTATACTGAATGCCCTGCATCGCAGCCGAGCCATTCATGAGCGGTGGTAGTGTCCGCGGCTGCTCCGGGGCCATACCGGCCCCGTTTCCGAAGCCGCCAAAGGCTGGACCCGGTGGTTGTCCGTTCGTCGGGGTCGTCGCCATCGCGTGGTGTTCGAATATAGACCCCGATCGCGATGGGCCGTGAGCCTGTTGTTGGGAGAATTGAGCGCGCATTTCCTCCATTTCCGTTCGCATCACCGAGTTCTCGCGACGTGCAGTGGCCAAGTTCTTCTCGAGCGAGTTGATATATTCGATGGCCCGGCTGAGCGTCTCCCACTTGCTGGACTTGTTGTTCTGGGTTTGCGGGAGGCGCATGCGAAGAGCCTCGAAGCAGTCTTTCATCTCACTGCGGCGTTTGCGCTCTGCGAGTTTGTGCGTGACGCGCAGCTCGGGCGTTCGACTGTATGGTGTGTTGCCGGCGCCGGACTCGGATTCCCCAATTAGATCGCGAACCTGTTTATGCTGCAGCGAGTGGTGGTGCACATTGGGAGGTAGTTCTGGAATATGGTCAGAACTTGCACCTCGACAGACTTGGTCCATTCCATAGCAACGTATATCGACTTACCGTGTTGTCCTCGTGGCATGCGCTCAGAGTACATGCTGTTCAGGGACTCCGCCGTACTCCCCTTCCGAGAGAAAGGCTGGCTGGACTTCTCCGTGGATGAGATCGAGCTCGATCGAGCAACATCGGGATCCGGGAAAGCGTACGCCATACCCGCCGTGGGTGCCTCGGCGTTGTAAATCTCCGAACGCGGGTTGGACGAGATCGCAGGTGCCGTACGCCCAGCCGCGAACGATCGGTGCTCGCCCGGTCGAGGTCCCAAGGGGGACAAAGGCTGGCTACCCCCCGAGTACCGCGGGCCCCGGTACGAGTTCATGTCGGTGGAAATCCCCCTTTCTCGCTGAAGACTCGAGACGATCGAGGACTGCGAGGCATTCGTACTGTGGTACGGCGAGGCCGGGTTGATCGCCAACGAACTGATGCCTTGGTTCACACGACTATCCACGCTACTCCGACGCGACTCAGGTACCTCGGCTACACTGTTGCGATGCGATGAGGCATCAAAATTCTGGTTAATCGAAGGGAGCGCCGAGTTTGGCAGAGTGGTGTTGAAGCTGGGCGAAGGTTGTTGCGCGCCGGCCGAGGAAGGAGTCGTTGATTGATCGTGCGCGTACGGCGACCGGTCTGGCGCGACGTGGCCCCGATTTGGGGAGGGTTGGGAGGTTGAGGTCAGGAACGTGAGGGATGGATAGTTGTTGCCGGTTCCATTGGTCGCGGTCGAGTAGGTTGAGGATCCTGAAGGGTCAGCATGCCGCGCCCAATCCGCCCCGGGGGGAGTCCTACTTGTGCTTTGCGGCATTGACCAATTCCCCGAGTCTCGTTCGATCGTGTTCAAGGAGGAGTTGCCGGGGGACTTCTCGGACGGGTTGATGGCAGTGCCCATGCTCGCGGTTAACGTCGAGATCGAGGGTAACGTCTGATTCGAGGCGGCAGGTGTTTGAGGGCCCGAGGAGACACGCTCCCACGGTCGGTGGGCGACGGAGTCCATGGCGACAAGAACAGGAGCTCCAACGTGTTTCAACCGGGAGATGGGAGAAGCTCGAATGAAGGTATATCGGAGACCAGGTTGCGTCGGTAGAATTTGTTGTTCCCAAAAAGTGAATTCGAGGGTATATAGACGGCGCTCGAAGGCTATTGCATATTCTCCAAACGACGTGCGAGCGGGACCAATTGGGGACGGATTGGAAGGCGTAGTCAATGCAAGTGGTAACGACCGTGCAGAGAGAAATGAAGGTTGGCGAAACCGCTGACAGGGACCCAGTACGGCGAGTACCAATTCCTTTGCAGAGTCGAGAAAGCGCAGCACAGTAGTAAGGAAAATGGGGGCGAAAGGAAAGTGGAGAGGGGGCAGAAGGGGATTCTGCAAGAGGATGTTTGGAGGGGCCGGAAGCTCAAGAAGGGCCGATGGAGGAAAGATGGTGGTTGGTGGTGGTAAAGTGAGCGGTTGGTTGGATTCGTCGTAGCCGGTGATTGGGGGGACACAGAAACAGACTTCTCTGTGGTGAGAGGGGGGGAAATAATGGACAGGCCGGGAAAAGAGGAGGAAAGAAAGACGATCTCACGCTAAAATGTATTGCACCGATCAGAGCCCGAGATTCTGGCAGGGTCGAATCCCAGCTTTCTTTTTTTTTTTATCCTTTTTTTCTCACTTATTTTTTGGAATTTTTATTTCTCTCGTTCTTTTCGAATTATTGACTTTTTTGAGCCCGGGGAAAGAAGTGTATCATGCTGGGGGGTATTATACGAGTACCGGAAATACCGACCAGAATTACCGTACCTCACTGAAACGAAGTCTCAACCCGCAAGGGAGCATCAAGCTTACCAGTTGGGTAGTGCGCGAGGAACGTGGCACAAAGGGGGTTTGGTTTGTATGCTCTTTAGGGGCAACACGCCCGGGTAAAAAATGACTAGGTTGAAGCCGGAAATGCTGCTGGAAAGATAGAAGGGGGATCTCGTATAGGAGAGGTGCTCAGTGGACAGCGCAGAAACTTAGGCCGCCAGATATGAATGATGATCGATAAGATTACCGAGTGGGAGATATACTGTATGTTGTAATGTATAACTGATGGATACCTTAAGAGGGGCTATTTTTTCTCGTAATCGTAGGCTACCCAAGGCTTAGATCAAGGCTTCTTTTCGCCCTTCTCCACTGTCTAGAATAGGTGATCGGGTGCTAACCAGACCGAATGGGATTTACCCTAGTGTATCATCCTCATTAGCTAGCTGCCTAGCGAGTCCAACTATGTGACTGCTACTACTGTAGCTAATTAGTCACCCTCGTTCTCGTTATGTGCAATCCCCGGTCCATTTTTCCTTTTCTTATTTGCTTCTTTACCCGGTGCCTACTGGACAGATCCCATCTCAGGTGCTCTGCTAAGTCCGCGGACCCGATGGATCGTCCCTCGTAACCTCGCTCGTTTTCCGGGTCCCCGTCCGCTTCCGCCAGGAGCCCGACAATGGTTTGTCCGTAGTGGATTGTATAGGATCTAGCTGCAGATTCTAACTAGATACGATGATATGCTAAAATCCGAACTATCTACTCTATAGTCAACTAAACAATCTAACCGACGGTAGGGACTAGTCCTGGCAAGTCCGTATCGGACGGAGGACGGACTACGGAATTCCTCAGTGGGAGTAAATACGATACCCGACCTTGCCATGACAAGACCAATACCATAGATACGACCGTGCATGTGCCAAGCCTTGGATATGCGCTACTGCGCGCAACACCCTCCACCTGTGTGCCACGAGGCTGACCCTCTCTGGGGCACGCAAGGGAGATGAATTCCCTCAGAGTTACATCTGCAAAATTAAATCTTAAAAATTCAATCCCTCATATTCATCCTCAAAGCTTATTAATTCTATTTTATCCTTTTTTTCGACTGGCTTTGGACCTCGTCAATCATTGCCATCAGGCACGGTACTCCCCGTAATGATTGACTGTTCAAAATTAGAATTATGGATCGTGATCGTGATGGACATGAATGATCGCCCGATCGTCTCGAGTCATAGCATTCGCCCTAAATCTCTCCTCTCCTCTTGTGTTTGGCTGCTGAAACCACCACTCCAAACTGCCTACCCCCTTTCCTTTCTACAACACCAGATTATTCACAAACAAACCACGATTTCCCGGCCGTGGTCACCCGAAGAACGGTGCCCGGTGGAGATCAAACTATAATTATAATTTTACGCTCGCTGTTCTCCGTGCTGTCCGATCCCGAAGCTCTGCAGAACCTGGCACTGAAATCGAATTTGCCATAATTATCATTCCCTCTGCCGACTTTGACGGTTTATACAGTAGAAACCGTCAGGCTTAAAAGTGTACAGTACCCAAGGTATGGGAGCAGACGCTGCCAACTTTCGCATCGCTACCAACTCGACGGGAACAGGATGGATCAGAACTCGGCGGGAAGTGGATCCGCGCACTCCCATCCTCGCATGGCAACGAAACCATAAAACCATAAAAGTCAACATAAGGGAAGAGCGCCTAAAAGCCAAAAAACAAAAAGAAAAAAAAGAATAAAGTATAATTTCAGTTTCAAGGGGGTCTGGATGTTGCGCTAAGTGTTCCAAAAGAATCACCAATCTAACTGGCCCAACAATATAAGGAGAAACCCTTTGCACAAACGCATATCAGATTTCTAAACTTGTCGAATGTATTTTCCATTAAAATTCCATTTGCCTCACCACGGGTACTGTACATTCCCCCGATCCCCCGTGGCGCCCCGAACCAACTCTTCAATGCCGGCAATTTGTGGGAGGGGACTTTCCTTTCCGGATCCCTGGGCGATGCAAGGAGAGAAGCGCACGTTTTTCTGGGCAGTGAATTGAATTGCATACTACGAAGTCACTACCGTACTGCGCGGTACGGTACTTTGTCTCGCCTTCTGGTCTTCTCCCTCGCAGTGCGATCTGCGGTGAGTAGGATTATTTGCATTAATGGTCGCCTCGAGTCTATCACAATAGTACGGTCTCATTCTCCCCTAATTACATCATGATTTAGAGTCTTCACGTCATGTTACTACAACGTGGGTGACCTCGGTGCAACCCGCGAGCCATGGTCTGCCCTCCATCACCAAATAATGCGTACAAATACAGTCCACGCGATAGGTATGGTCTATACTGTGAGTGAAGGATCACGAAATAGATATACAATATGATTAGATCAACTGCATGCCGCCTATGTTTGACTTGTAATTAAGCTCTGGGTGGAGAGTGAGTTTCCGATCCACGGGTCTACGGAATAGAATAGTTTGTCCCCCCCCCCATCGCCCCCGAGAAAGAACACTGCGCC